TGAAGTTGTGGGTCTAATGGTGACTTTCATGTGGGCAGCGTGGAGATGTAGGAACTTGATGATTTTTCGAAATGAACAGCATAACCTGGTTATGCTTGCTGCTGGGTATATTGGGTTTGTCCAAGATTACAAGGCCTATGTGCGTAAAGTTTTTATCCCTGCTATGTGCCCAGCTTCTGTCAGCAGTAACTCGGGGTGGAAATGCCCTCCTCAGGGGTGTGTAAAGGCGAATAGTGATGCTCACGTACTGGTGGAAATAAGGCTAGGGTAGAAGTTGTTCTCAGGGACAAAAATGGGACTATCCTTGCTGCTGCTACCAAGGTTGTGCTCGCTACAGGCCCTGAACTTGCTGAGGCTCTGACTGTAAGATATGCTCCCCAATTGGCTCGACGATTGGTTATGCTCGTATTTGGGTGGAATCGGATGCTCTCAACGTTATTCAAGTAGTGAGTAAAGATGATGGAGGCTTATCTCTAATTCATATGATCTTTGATGATATTAAGAAAGATAGTATTCCCTTTGACATATGTACGTCATCTCATGTTAAACGCAAGTGTAATACGGTAGCCCATCTCATGGTAAGATGGGGAATTGGTAATAATGAAAAGTATGTACGCTTATGTTCCTCCCCAAAGCATTACTACTTTGGCGAAATTGGACTTGACTTTATTTAATAAAATGGGATCCTATCTTTCTTTCAAAACTAAGTATTAAAAATCACCGTGCCATACACGAGAATTAACCTAGTATTAGATATTAGATATTTTTTTTTTAAGTAGATTTTAGATTCTCTCCTTATGAGAGTTTAGTGCTATGATTGTTTTTTTTTTTTAATAATGATGGCTCGTTTATTCAATAAAATAAAATAGATTACTTAATAAAACGTGGCAAGGCCACCCCTATGAAGTCCTCCCTTGGAAGAGCGTTTATTTCAATTGGAAGAGTATCGAAATAAACAACCCCTTCTTCAAGCCGAACACCTAAGTTAGCAAGCCCATCCGCCACCCTATTACCCTCTCTAAAACAAAACATAATCTTAAAATTACAACCAGAAAAACTAATTAATCTATGACAGCTTCTTAAAATGTGAACACATTCACCCCCAGTGTGTTCGGGTTCCTTCGTAGCTTCAATACATGCTTGGTTGTCCATCTGCAACACTAGCTTTGAAATTCCCAAAGTACTCGCCATCTTAAGACCCATTTCACAGCTAGGATCTCGGCTTTGTAGGCTGTGCATATTCCATAATTGGCTACAAAGCTTCTCACATACTTGCCTATGCAATCACGCAAGATACCTCCTCCCCCAGCCAAACCTAGTGCCCTTTTCGCAACCCCATCCGTGTTCAACGTAAACTAATTTGAGGGGGGAGCCATCCATCTAGCATAGACTTCTCTCTTTTGGCTTCGAATAGCTGACTTTGGTTGTGATCACCAACAAGAAAACTCCAGGTTTCATCAATTTTGCTCCTTAAAAAAGAGTCAATATCAGCAGGGATTGCTTCACTACTACCAAACATAGCATTGTTTCTCCATCTCCACAACCACCATAAGGTAGTTGTAAACGTTGTTGGCCACTTCTCTGAGAAAATAAACCCTGCTGCTTCTAAGTTGTGCACCATCCAAGCATTAAAATCACCAGTAAAGAAGGAAGGATAAAGTGTTATACCTCCCACATTTTGCAAGACTTTCCTAGCAATAGGACATTCTCTTAACAAGTGGAGAGGGGTCATCTGTCAAGTGTCTCTTGAGCTTGTTAATTGTAAAGAACACGGCTATGGAGGCATAACCAAAGAAAGGTGCGTATTCTTTGAGGAACAGGCGCCTTCCAAGAAAGTTCCCACATAGAGTTAGTGGGAATGTTATCATGATCTTGCATAAGTTGTAATGCATACTTACTCGAGAATCCACTAGTTTTGGAACTCTCCAATAACGTGCACTCCTCAACCAGACTATATGAAGCAATACATTTTTACTCATGAGCTGGCAGGAGATGTGCGAAAAAATCCCATTTCCAGCCCACCCCAGTATCCCATAGCTCACCAACCGTAGCACCATCAATGGAGTCAGGGATAGGGGCAATGCAAGCCTCTCGCAAAGGGGCTGTAGTGGCCCAGCAGTGGTCCCAGAAGAGGGTGGTTCCACAATTTCCAATTGCCACACTCGAACCTTCATTTAGCCAAGTTGCAGTATCCGTGATCCCTCTCCAAACATTTGACATGTTATTTGTAGGAATAAACATGTCTATGTCACATCTACCTTTGCAATATTTTGAACGAAGGACCCTATACCAAAGAGTCATTGGTTCTTGTAATACTCTCCGACCCAGCTTTGTCAAAAACGCGGAATTTGATTGCCTAGCTGAACGAATGCCGATACCTCCTTTATTCCTAGGGAGTTGAAGAGTCTCCCATGATAGGAGATGAATTTTGCTTTTTTCCTCATTGCCTTCCCACACAAATTTTCTTGCTTTCCTATCGATCTCATCACAAATTGTATGGGAAAATTTTGCAGTTTGCATAGAGTAGTTGGCAAGCGTAGTAAGTGTAGAATTTGCAAGAGTGACACGGCCAGCTAACGAAATGTATTTCGATTTCCACCCAGTTAACCTTCGATCCACTTTTTCACATAAATGAGCATAAGTCTCCCTTGTCACCTGACTAGTTAAAGTCGGCATGCCTAGATAGAGCCCCAAATCATCTGTAACATCCATACCAAGAGCTTCACTGATTTCCAATTGCTTCTCTTGATTAATGTTGCGAGAGAAGTAAACTCGGGATTTTTGGAGACTCACTATTTGACCGGATGCCATGCAAAATTTGTGAAGGCAATCAGAAATCATATTTGCTTGTTCAATAAAAGCTTCGGCAAAAAGGATAAGGTCATCCGCAAAAAATAAGTATGAAAGCATTGACCAACCCCTACTAGCATAGATCGATTTCCAATGGCCAGCTACTATGGCTGCTTCTATGACTTGGTTAAGTCTCTCCATACAAAGAACAAATAGGTATGGTGAGAGTGGATCGCCTTGACGGATACCCCTAGAAGGGGAAAAAGAATCTGTTTTCTCACCGTTCCAAAGTAACCTCAAGGAAGGAGATGTAACACACTCCATAATCACCTCGTTCATGATTAAAGGGAAATTCATCTCCACAAAAGTATCACGTATGAATTTCCACTTAAGCCGGTCATAAGCTTTTATGAAATAAATTTTGATAGTCATGTAACCCTTACCCCCTTATTTTCTCTTCATGGTATGGAGGACCTCTTGCACAATGACTATATTGTCTGTGATTTGCCTTCCGGGAACAAAACTAGATTGTGACTGAGCGATAATTTTTGGCAGTACCAATTTGATGTGGTTTACAATAGCCTTGGTGATGATTTTGTAAGTAACATTATATTGCATAATCCGATAGGCTGAAATTGAGATGGAAGCTCGGGGCTATCAATTTTCGGTAGGAGAACAAGAAAGGTTTCAATCAAAGATTGAGGTAAACCTTTTCCTTGCAAGGCTGCCAACGCTAAACTATTAACATTCAGAGCCACCAAATCCCAATTCTTTTGATAGAAAAGGGCTTGAAAGCCATCCGGACCCGGAGCTTTGAGAGATCCCATGTTTTTTACCACATATTCTATATCACAATTAGTATATGGTTGATTCAATTTCATCCAAACCTCATTTGAAAGTTCAGTGCATACAACCGAGGGGATATTAAATTGTTAATCGTTTAAGTTTTTTAGTTTTGAAAATTGTTGTAGATTTGTTTCACTGCATCTTTCCAATATTAATTTATATTTTTTTTCAGCATTAGATTCCGTGTAACTTAAAATATTAGTAGTGATTGTTTGCGGAGGAAACCATTAAAAATACACGGATGAGTTACATTTGATTAAGAATGAATGAAGTAATGTTAAAAGTGACAATTGGGTTATCCGATTGGATTTAAGCCAAATTGTTTGACAAGTTTTGGGTCTATGATAGTACAACCTTTTGTGAAATATAGACGATTTCAATTTTCAGCTATATTTTTTCCAAGTCAAGTCAATTTGTAGTGTTCGATTAATTCGAGTTGGGTTAAGCCTAAATGCAGTGCTCTCAGTCCCTTTGTTCAACGGTAAACCTTACAATTGTTTTAAAAGTTTAATTTTTAAGTGTATGAATATGTTATACAAAGCATGTCATTTTTGCAATTACTACATCCATTTCAAGATAATGTTTACAATTTGAATTTTGCCAGTATTCACGAACTCCATGTGGACCATTCTTTGTGGTATATATATATATATATATATATATATATATATATATATATATATATATATATATATATATATATATATATATATATATATATATATATATATATATATATATATATATATATATATATTGTTTTGAAACACCTTGTGGTGTATAATATACTTTCTCCATTCTTTTATATTTGATCCACTTTGATTTTTACACTATTCAACATCCCTCCCTTGACTGTCTTTTGTAAATAATAGGTAAAGAAAAACATATTCATGTTGGATCTTTTTGAATTTGTCTCAATAAATACTATCATAATATATAACTTTTATATTTTTTATTTATGGAGAATTAAAATTATTGATCGTTAAAGTATTAAATTGGCAAGCGTGATAAAAGAAACAAGTCAAGTAAAAAAAGAAAAGAGGAAGTAATAAACACTAGAGATCTTGTTAGAGTCATCTCAATCTATTTATTTCAGATATCAAATTTTATGATATTAAAAATATATAATTAGAGTGTGAAAAACAATTGTAACCATTATATAGAATGGGAGGTAATATGATGATATGATCATATGTCACAAAAAGAAGAAACAGAGAGCTATCCAGAGAAGGTTGGCATTTTTGTTGGGAGGGGTTCAAATTATCTGAAGTAATAATAATTAATTAAAATATATATCCGGCCACAAATAAGTTATTGCAATATTAGTGCTACATAATTTTTTTAATAAATCAAACAAGAGTATATTGAAAAAAACTCCTGTATACCTGAGGAGTGTATTTATTTATTGCCAATCTCTGTATATAAACTATAATCATAAAACTCTTCAATATGGGAATAATAACAGGAAATTACATAAAGGTTACTCTGCTACCCGTGAGAATCTTCCATATCACAGCAGCAGCATCCAGGATAAAGCATAGGGCATCAATTTGCAGCACTGGTACCACAAAAGAACTCCGTCAATAATCAGACAGAAAAAAAATAACCTAGAATGAGATTTTTATCGAGATGAATTCTCAGATCACTACAGCAAGGAACGATTTATAAGAAAATAATTTGTTTTGAAGTTGCATTCCATCTCATTAAATCTCTTTAACAGCAGGGGAAACACCTCACTAACTTGAGCACATCAAGTCTCTACAATACGCTTATACACGATGGCAAGAGCTTTGTGGATGAAATTAAATTGTTCACTCCAACTTCAAACACAAAATTCCTAGCAAGTAATGTTCTATGATTGACTTTGCTGCCATCTTTCTTGAAAGGCAACCTAAGACCAACCCTTCGTAAGAAGAAACATTCATTCTGGAAAACACAAGACGCAGACAAATTCAAGGACAAGATGTCAAGGATAGCCACCTTCCAAACAACCAAGTTCAACCCCTGAGAGCCACATCCTTGGCAAGTCATCCTGTTACAGGCTGTACAGCAGGAAATGGATAAGGATTACTAGGATTAAGATATAGCTGGGGTCCAATGGTCATGAGGTTCTAGATAGAGTTTAGTACTCTTAAGGCATGACATATAGGTGGGTAGTAAATTGCATAATAAAGTACATACTGTACCTTTCAGGCTTTCATGCACAGTACGTGGTTCTACCAATGAGACTTTCAGTTACAATCTTAGACCACCTAACTACTAATGCGCACAAAAGCTTATCACCATCATGATTTGCTGCCTCAGCTTTTTTAGCTTTTTTTTTTTTTTTTTTTTTTTGGGTCTTCACACTTTCTGTTTAGAGAGTTGTTTTTTTTTCTGTTTTTTTTTCCTTACCAAATTCTAATGTACCTCACTTACCCTAAAATAACTAACCTTTCTATTCACTCTACTTAATCAGTCTTTTTCTTAATGAAAGGAGTGAAACAAAGTGTCACCTAACTAATTTTTATTCCATATCTCTAAATTTCCACCAATTTCTTATCATCACTTTTTCAAATTTTCTTAGAAGTAAGGGTCTACATTGAGTATGGTAAAGAAAAAAAGAAAAAGAAAAAAAAAACAGCAAAGCAAAGGGAGTATATAGTAGTTACACGTGGTCATTTGTAAGAAAATCTAAGAGCAACAGGGTTGATACTTGTTAATGGGGTTCACACAAGAAAAGTAGGAAAGAATGTTTTGTGAATGGGGTTGTGTAATTAAAAAGAGCAATTTCCCTATAATTGAAAAGATGACTAAGCTACCTAAGATACATTGAAGGGATGGGAGATAATAGAATAGCTAGTAAAATTGACAGCCTACAATTTAACTTGACTAAGTTACTTCCCTGATGTTGAGGTTGATTATCATTACCCTTCATGTCAAATCATTCCCCTTTGCCATATATCATTTCATCTGAAAATAACAGAGGGAGACCTTTCAAGTTTTTCAATTTGATGGAAGACCATAGAAAGTTTGAGGCTATAGTTACTGATGCTTGGCAACGAAAACTGCAATAGGTAATATGAAGAAATTGTGGACAAAGTACAAAAAGGTTAAAGTTGGTTTAAAAGTTGTATAAATAAGATTTTTCAGATATTCGTAACAACATTGAACATTCTAGAACTCAATAAAACTGAGTTCAAGTTCATCTTCAGGAAAATATTGGTGATATCTCCTTGCAAATTCAAGATAAAGATTGTATTGATAATTTTAAAAAATGGTTGAAGGTCGAGGACTATGCCCTTAAGCTTTCATTTTTCTCCAATGACAAAAAGAATAGTATTTGGATGCAAGAAATCCAGTATGCTCAAGAGGCAAACAGAAAAGAATTAAGCTAAAGGTATACTCTACACAGCTTCAATGAGGCAATTTTATGCTATTCAAAGACAGAAATAACAGGTTGTTCAATGAGAAATGTATGAAGTGTGAAGCTTTTTCAAGGATATTATATTTAAAGTTCCTCGTAGTCGTACTGATCAAATGAGAAACTTGCTCGTAAACGAGTAGACACAGTCTGATTGTTTTAGTGTTTAAATATATGGAGAGTCCTTAGCTTCCACCAATCCTAAACTCTGGGAAGCTGCTGAATTAGATTATTAACAGATTAATAGGAGCTATTGATAGTATCCTTTGTTTTCAGTGGTGAGCGGTGGGCTGTTATATGTTTGTACTCCATTTCTTGCTAATTAATTAAATATTTTTGGAAAAAATTTCGGGAATATTATGACCTTTGCCCGATCTTCCGAAAATGAAACAACCTTTTTATTACTCCCCAATAAAACGACCTTTGACATGCATCTACCGCAAATAGGACGTAACTGGTTGGTAACCTGTTGTATAAGTGTGACACGTGTCACTTTGTAATTGGTAGGTTTTTTTTTTTTAATAATTTACTTATTAATAAAATTGATTTTTTTTTATTATTAAAAAAAAACAAAAAAAATAAAAAATAAAAAACGCCAACATCTACCCATGCTGTTGACATCTAAACCACTCAACAAATCGCATATACCATAAAAATTTCAAACATTACATATACTATGCGCATCAGATTCTTACCCTCGGGTTTCTATGTCTATCACAACATCAAGTAAACAGCATGACAGGAGCTCTAGAAACTTGTAAAGGATTGAATATTCTTAAAATTTTTGATGCAAGCAACACCAGAAATCAGGATTACATCACAACTTCAACTAAATTAAGTCACAATGTGGTAGAACAAAAGCACTAACAGAATATAACATTTTTATTTCATAAATTAAAATGGAAAATTGGCACTCCTATGATCCTATCTGTTTGATAACAAAAGTGGACAATTTAGATGCTGCTAACAAAGACAGATCTTGGGCATCTAAATAGGAAAGGGTGGTAAAATGGACCCGTGAGCAGGCTAGGCTTTAAGTGTGTGAAACAATCTCCTGTATAAACCTTATTGTTGGCATCAAGTTTTAGTAATGGGATATAAGATAGTTTTAGTACCCCTCTTGGATTGCAAGAACATCCATCATCAGCATGGTGATTTTGCACCAAAAAAAAAAAAAAAGGAAAATTTAACAAGAATAATCCAACCTTTGCCTCGTTCTCCCAAAATAATCCAACCTTTTAATTAACCCTGAATAATCTTAAGTTTACTATTTATTTTCTTATACCGAGCCTATTTGACCGGTTACCTGAACTTCAAGTAACTTCCCCCCCCCCCTCTTTATTTTTCCCCTCCTTCTTTCTCCCCTCTTCAACTCCATTTCTGAACTTCAGCCACCATCACCACCACCTGAACTTCAACCACCACCACTTACCCCACCCCACCCAGACCCGAAATAACCCTTCCCCCACTCCTACCCAGACTCGAAACCACCCAACCCCACCTAGCCGAAACTACCAGCCCCACCCTACCCATATCCCGAAACCACCAGCCCCACATACCAAGACCCCGAAACCACCAGCCCCACATACCAAGACCCCGAAACCCCATCCTCACCTCCCTGAACCTTCCTGCCACCCTCTCCCCTTCCTCATCAAGCACCACTTACTACCTCCCCATCAAACCTTATTTAATTTCCTTTTCTTCTCTCTCTCTCTCTCTCTCTCTCTCTCTCAATTGAATTTGGGGCTGAATTGGGGCATATGTCTTCAATTATGGGGCTGGAAAAGCAGGGGTTGGGGTTGTTTTCTTGTTGGTTATCGTGGGTGGTTGGTGTTGCGGGTAATAGTTGCTTATGGTGTTGATTGCGGCACTGTCATAGGTTGTGGATGTTGTTTGCGGTTGTGTTGTGGGTTGGTCGTGGATGTTGTGATGATGTTGGAGTGTTGAGGTGTTTGTAGGTGGTGGTGCTGGTGCTGGTGCTGGTCGTGGATGGTGTGGTGTGTGGTGTTGGAATGATAATGGGGGAAGGGAGAGGAGAGAGAAACAGGCAGGAGGGGGATGGAGAGATTTTTTTTTGTATAAATTTTCCGAAATTAAAAATAATTTTTTAAAATAAAAAAATTGACCAATTAGGAAGTGCCACGTGGATGGTAACCTGTTATAACGGGCTACTAGGGTTGCTGGGAGAAAATAAATAGTAAACTTAGGATTATTCAGGGTTAATCGAAAGGTTGGATTATTTTGGGAGATTGGAGCAAAGGTTGAATTGTTCTTGTTAAATTTTCCAAAAAAAAAATAAATAAATCATTGGCGGTGATGAAGAAGGCACTCTCGAGGCTATTGCTACTCAAGTATTATGAGGGGTCCTTTTTTTTATATAATTATAATAATGTAGAGAGAAAGATGAAGGAGATTTACAAGAGTCACTAGCACAAGAACCCTGATAACTATAATACAAAAATGAGATTAGAGCTTACAAAATAATGCAGAACAGTCTTCTGTATCACAGTGAGCTTACCTGCATAACTAATGCTGTGCTTAAGATTCAAGTTCCACTTTGCCCGCGGCTTTTGCTGAAGGAATTGTGTGCTACAAGTTTATGGCTAGAAGTAAGGTGATCATCCTACAGAAAATTATTAAGCTCATATCAGAATAAAACAATTACTGAAAAAGCAAGACATTTAATAGCATTTCTAATATGAAACAACAAGATGGCAATTAAGTTGTTCCTTGACACTATTCAACAGAATTTATCCAATTCACTTTGACCATTCTTTGCTATATTTATAATCAAGGGAAATTCTAAATGGTAACCCCAAACTTTTGCTACACTGAAATGGTAATCCCTCTTTTTCAAAAATCTACAAAATGACCCTAATTATAATCTTTTTTCTCACCTATGACATTAATGAGGTTTAATTGGGTTAATTTCATTAAAATGCTAACCACAGTTAAAATAAACAAATAAATTACTTAAATGCCCTTGCCATTATCACCTCTTTTCCTCCTCTCACCCCCTTCACAACCTTCTCCACCACTGCCGCCACCGCCGACATGAAACCCTCTTTCTTCCTCCCAAACTAACGAAAAATAAATCCAAATTTTAAACTTACGAACACCAAGTTTCAAGTAAACAACTAGGCCGGGTCAGGTTTTCTGTAATGGTCTTCTTCGTTCGTTCCTCAAGCCTAGATCCAAAAGAAGACGACATGGTGAGAACCAATGTGGTGCGTTCTCTTAAATTATTGGGATGATTGAAATTAAAATAGGTGGTATATTTCAGTTTTAGAAAGCTTTTTTTATATTAGTTTGAGGTTTACAGGCTAAGAAATTTAAGAAAAATACGGGAGATGATTGTAGAAGAGCGAGGAGAAGTGAGAGAAACTGAACAGATGTTCTTGGTAAGATAAGAGGTTCCTGCCATTGTTTGATTGATCGAAGCTTGGTGGTGGAGGATTGGTGGTTGTAGACTGGTGTTATCAGTTGGTGTCATAGTGTTGGTGTGGGTTTGTTACGGAATATAGGTGGGAGCATGGGGTAGTGAGGTGATTCGATGGTGGGAAAGTGGGGTCAGGTGGTGTAAGTACTAAGTACTTAAGTAGTGGTTGGGTGGTGGCTAGATGGTGTTAATGAGGTTGGGGATCAAAAGACAAAAGGGCGGGTGTTGATTGTTTTTTGTTTTATGTTTGTTAACCATAGTTAGTTTTTTTTTTAATAAAAAAAATGAAAATAAACCTCTCATTAATGTCATTTGCGGGATAAAAAGGTTAATAAGCGTATTTTCTATCAATAAAAAAATAATAATAATAGAAGGGCTACTATTTCAGTAAAGCAAAATATTGAGGGCAACCATTTCAGTAAAGCGAGCATATATTGAGGGTCAACATTATGAACTACCCTAAAATCAAACTTATGTTGGATCTTATCAGATTCATGTCAATATATATTTTATAATTTCTATAATCACACAATGAAAGATATTAAGGATCAAAGTTGTACATTGGCAAACTTGCCAAGTCAAAGTGGAGCAACTAAAAAAACAGAGGAAGTAGTTTACAGCAAAATAGACATGCATAAAGGACGCCAAAACTAGCAGAGCTTCCGTTTTAGATACTCCCTCCGTTTTTCGTTTTGTAAAGTGTTACACTTGCCTTAATCAGCCAAAGTTAAGTGTTACACTTCTTATTTTTTGGAAAACTACTTACTTTTAATACTCTCTCCTCTCATGTTCCCCACACCAACTTTTTTTTATTTTTCTATTTATATTCTCCTCTCTCATCAACTTTTCAATAAACTATTAATTACACTATATTTTATTACAATATTTTGATATTCCAACTACCACACTTACACCTTATTATATAAAAGTCAATTAAACTATCTTAAATTATGTGTCGGTCAAACTGTAAAACTGAAAAGAAAAAAATAATAAATAAAATAAAATAAAAACAGGAGTACAAACAAAGAGAGCTGCACTCTAGTCCATACTGAAATACCAAACAAAGAATATTATGATATAACCACGGTCTCAAGCATATTGTAGATGATAGTAAACCCAAATATCATAACAATTATAAAGCAGCAAAGAACATATTTATACAGCAAAGCATCAACCCAATAAACAAGCAAAGTAGGTGTCAAAATACATGCTCCCTATTCCCTACCAACATCAATTAGCAATTTTTTAATTAGCAATGTTAAACTGCAAGAGACATACCTTATACAGTGATGCTGCAGACTCGGATTCCACAGCTTGGACTGGAATATGCCCCAGCGATTGAAAAGCGTCCAGAGCATCAAGAGTAAGCTGCCAGCCACAGAGAGCTACAACACCAGCTGAGGAACTGGCAACAGTGCTGCAACCAGCTGCTGCAACATTTCCATTCACCCAAGGACAGAAACTATTGTGATGCTTAATTGGATCAAATTCAACACCTTCAAAGTTACTCGCTCCATTTGGAGGCCCTACATGCATTGACCGGGAATATGTATAATAGTGAAAAGGTAAACTTGAAATTAAGTATAACTGAAAAAGGCTGAAAGCTCCAGAAGTAGCCACTATGTTTTCCAGTTAACTGACAATATATTAGAGCTGTAAAATTAAAATAAAAATAATACAGAAAAATTAATCTCAACAACACAAACTTTTAACAGGGGGCACGTAGCAGCATGAACTATGACTAGTAGGCGTAGCAACAAAAACTTCTTCATTGGGTGCACGAAACATCATGAATAAAATCCGGCACCAGAGATTCTACTAGAGATGGGAAACCTTTAACAATTTATTATTTTTTTGCCAATTTTGAGTTCAAATTTGGCCCTTAAGGTCCAAATTGACCCCAAGCCCTTAACTGAGGCATTTTAGAGCACACAAACTGATGCGTTATGGTAATTTTTGCTAATTTGATCTTAAAATTGACCCTTAAGGTGATTTTTGCTAATTATAGCTAATTTTTGCTAATTTTTGTTATTATGACCCCCCACAACCTTAAATGGTCAATGTTCCCAGGCGATTTTTCATAATAATAAATTATTAAAGATTCCCCTTCCCCGTCTCTGACTGAATCTCTAGTAGCAAGTTTCATTTATTATATTTTGTGCACATAATGAAGAAATTTGTGCTGCTACAACTACTAGTTAAAGTTCATGTTTGTGCTATTGAGGCTAATTTTGCCAAAAAATAAAAATCAAAATTAAAAAACCTTCTCTTTCACTGATTTTTTCTCTTTCATCTTTAGGATACATTTCACAACCAAGATCAAGTTTACTCATTTACATTGTCAACAAACATGAGGATAGAGAGACAGAAGTAAAGGGGGAAAAATAAAACATGACAGCCTTAACACCCACAAAGAACTGATACACAATATGGATACTATATCAAAATCTTAGAGTAGAAACCATTCGTAAAAAAAAAAAAGAGTAGACACCATTGAGAAAACTAAATCAGTAAATCTGTCTTAGGCCCTGATTTTATAGGAAAAAGGAACATTGATTCAATTGCATGATTTTATATTTCAGCCTGCTGCTGAATTAACAACTTAGGGTAACAGAGATCAATAATAAATAACCTCACATGCATGCCTGATATGAAGAAGTTTCGTCCTAATTTGTGGTTCCAGGAGCAATAGCATGAATAACTACGTTTGAAAGAACACCGCAATTTACCTGTCCCATTGGTCGTCATATAATCTGACTCTGGATACGCACCCTCATCAGCAGGTGACTGCTTGCCTCCTTGAGATACTTCTTCCTTGGATGCCTCAATGCCTGAATACATAATAGCATTACATGATAGAGAAGGATGAACACTAGCTTCTTGGGCTAATATTTGCATCTCACTGTTCTTCTCGCCACTTTCTACAGATTCCGCTTTCCTTGAACCAACAACTTTCGACCCACTATCTGCCCTACCCATTGAGCGCGATACAACATCTTGACTATCTCCATGAGGATCCTCTTTATTCATCTCCTCAACAAAACCATCTCTGGATCCACGTTCAGGGGCAAACTCACCAGTCTGTCCCTGATTTTCAACAACCTCAGCTATAGGCTCCACATCACCAACACCACTATCAGACCTATTTGCAAAAACATCAGTCCCATGAATCTCAGCTTCATGACTTGCACCCATCCCAACACTCCCACCACTTACACCTATACTAGGGCCATCCCTAGCTGGCGCAGTAACTGTATCTGTGTTCAGTACTTCGTCGTCATCATTTGTGCTACTTACACCTATTTCTCCACCAGCCCGAGCAGCCGCTGGTTGAAAACAGGCACTTTGTTGTGCCTGATTACTATAATTCAGGTCTGAAGTGTCAATCATATCAGCATTCTTAGTCATAGCTACGGAAGGAAAATTAATATCATCAACATCTCCAGGATGATTTTCAACACTTTCCATGGAATCATCATCTGCACTGTGACAAATAGTATCCATTGCGATAACAGAGGATGCATGTGTTGAATCTCTAGTAGCAGGAAAGCGGTGAACTTCATCATTTCCTTGTAATACATCGATTCTTCTTTCATCTACTTCAATATCAATGCCTTGCGAGTTGCTAGGGCCTGCACCAGATGAATCTCTCCGAAATGAAGACCCACACCTTTCGATAACATCAGACTCACGAGCACGCTTTGAGGGCTCAGCTAGATACTGCTTACCATCATCAACTTCATCAACATCACGATCAATAACTGATCCCTCAAGACTATCAGCCTGTTGCATCCTTAAAATTGGCCTGTCTACTGTGCTTCCACCCTCATCCAAGCTTCGTTTACGAGTACTTGGTCCTCGCGATTCATAGGAAGCAGCACGATCACCAACCTCGCTGGTAGAAGGCTGTCCAATCATTAGATCTTTCCCCAAGTCAACATCATGATAATGCTGAGAGATTTCAGGCACATGAGCATTTCCTGATAACAAGCCACCAGCCATAGTTAGATTTAAATCAACAGCTGCATTTGACATGAGCTTTCCCTCAACTATAGTAGCAGCTTCATCATGGTATTCAGCCTGCTCTTTCTCCATGCCATCACCACCCACCCATCCACTGATTCCACTGGCTGCACTCACACCACGAGTTAAAACCATCTTTTTACTTGTCTCAGGGATCTCAATCCCATTGGGCAGTACACAAACAGGGCGAGAAATAGTTATGAAGTTCCAGATTCTCACAGTAGCACCACATAAGCTGCAATCCAGCAACGGTGACCTAGATTCGCATTTAGATTCAGGACCCATTACTTCATTCTTGCCAGAATATTTTTTGGCTGTACTTGAGAAAGCTTTCTTGCTTGGACCAGGATCATTAGGATGACCACATTTCATAGACAGTCCTACAGAATACCCATTTCTAGCAGATTGAGCAGAATGGTCTTCACAATCCTGGATATCTGGAAGCCATCTAGGTTCCCATCCACACAAGGCTATCAGCTTTTGTGCCTACAAGATGTTTAGAGAGGAAAACCAGTAAGGAAACAAATAGCAGAACATATACTGTCCAATTAAATAAGCTGTTTCAAAGACATCATACACGAGAATATAAAGAGAACGCCTCTTCTTTAGAAGGATCCATCCCTGAGAAATTTTCTGACTTAATGCTTGGCTCCCCAATCAAAAAGTTAACGGAGTTAGCAAGAAACCGATCAATTTGTGGCCCATGGGAAATGCGCATCTGCTCAATTGCAGAAGCAGCTACCACCGGTAGTGCAGCAAACTGCAAGAGCCCATCACACCGATCTTTGTATCCTCCAATCAAAGCTGATGGAGGAGTTGGAGGAAACTGCACCAGGCTCTCTGGACAGCTATTTCCTCTCCAAGGGCAGGTTCCCTTGTGTCCTGAATCAAGCTGTTTGGAAAACTCTTCAGCTGCACCATCAGCGTTCATTGAAAAAATAGAAAAAAGTAAATTATTATGATATTTGAGAAAGTGAGACACGAAAATGCGAATTAAAAAAAAAAAATACACACCCTAGGTGACGAGAAGATAAAATATAATCAGAGATATGAAGCTGCAGAACCCACAGATGTTAAGCAACAGAGACAAAGTTTCAAAATATGAAGACACAAAAAGCACAGCAATGTGCCATTTGTTAAGGCAAAAAGCACATTTATTTAATCAAACCTAAGGAATCAACAATACAACTGAATTTCTACAAAATCTGAATGCAGTTGATCGATCACAATGCTCTATATCCTACCAAAGATATATAACATATATATCTTTGGTTATATCTTTGCTATGCTTTTCGTGTCTTCATTTATAATAAGAAGGATGAGAAGGATGAAATGTGCACTTATTTTGAACTGAATGTGCATATATTTTCTACTAATTGTGCAAATTTGATTTTTGACCTGCTACTTTTTTTCAAGTTTTTGGAAAAATGAAAATTTATGCACATTCTACCCAAAATATATGCACATTGAATTACGGTCAAATTTTCTTTTGCGCATTTAGTGAAACTTTCATCCACATAAAATCCTTCTCATCTTTCTCATTTTAAGGAACTTCCCATATATATATATATGGGAAGGCTCTCGTGAGAACCCTTTCTTATCTAAGAACACTCTTTATGTTCTACTCTGGTATTTTAAATGTTTACTTATGTGTTCTAAATTAGATTAGATGCTCTAAATTAAAACTCACGTATTCTAAACCTTAAATTAGTTAAATCAGATGTTATAAATCGTAAATAAGTTGTTCCAAAATTGTAACTTACATGTTCTAAATTTTAAATCGTGTGTTTTAAGATTTTTAATCATATGTTGTAGATTTATGCATATGTTCTAGATTACATATTATATATTCTAAATTTTACTCATACATTCTATTTTTATTCACATGTTCAATATTTTATGACAGGTTTTTTAAATTTAACTCATATCATCACATGTTCTAATTTTTTAATCAGATTTTCTAAATACTTACACACATGTTCTAATTCTTAAAACAGATATTCTAAATTTTACTCATATCATCATATATTTTATATATTTTAAATCAGATTTTCTAAATTTTTACTCACATGTTCTAATTTTTAATCAGATTTTCTAAATTATTACTCACGTAGATTTTCTAAATGAATTTGAGACACATGTTCTAAATTTTAATTTGAGTCACATGTTCTAAATTTTAATTTGAGTCACATGTTCTAAATATTTACTCGTATGTTCTAAATTTTAGATCAATTCTCATATAAGTAGTATGGGTTGTCATGTATGGACTTATTTTCACTAGATCCCTCCCCTATGTGCGTATATTGTTATTATTATAATTTATTTTTTTCTGGTTGAAACCTAAGATTTGGTCTTTTTTGATTTCCTGTGATTTCTATCACTTGGTTGTTTGCTGTCTTCACTGCATCTGAGCAAAAGAGAAGATGAAGGAGATGAGAGAAAAGAGGAAAGAAAAAGCACATCTCCTTTCCAAAAAAATCCTTGTATACAGTAGAAGGTACTAGAAGTCTGAAAGATAGTTGGCTTCCTTGGGACGGAAAAAGATTGGTTGACTTTGAATGTTTTACAAAGTTTGGTTTTTAGGAGTCGATACTTTTTTTATTAATTTACGATTGAAGAATTGTTGAATCTTGAAAAATCATGAAATGTGGGTTGGGCTTCATTTATAATAAGTTATAAAATTTGTTCCGCTAATTTATACTTCAAGTATATATATATTTTTTTTAAAATGTTATTAGTATTGAAAAATAAATTAAACCTACAAACGATTCACTAATTTAATTGATCTTTACTACCAGTATTTATTTTTAAGTATTGGATGACAATTCATGTTAGCAAATCCCACATCATTTTGTGATTAAGACTTTGTTGTTGTTGTGTTGTTATTGTTGTATTAGGATGAGTTATTTTAATTAGTTTGTTGAAACAAAGAGCAAGAGTTTATGAAACAATGTCAAAGTAGTTATTAAAATAATCACATTTTTTTTGTAAAAAAAAAAGGAACCGTATAGTGTATTTATAATAATTTTGGCCATATTTAATTAATACCAGAATGTATAAACAGCAAAAGGAGTTTAGAAGCTGAATATTTAACTTGCGAACTCAACAATCCACTCCACTTTACTGTGAGAAGCCACTTAAGAACAACCCAACTGCAACTTCTTTATTTTCTTCTCATGGTTTTCGTATTAAAAAGCTAGTAAAGCACAAAGTTCACCGAACCACCAAAAGAGGTTTCAATAGAGTGCACTCCATATAACCATAAGAAATCATAATAAAAAAATATTCTCATAAGCAAAAACCTTCCTAGACTCAACAAGAATTTAAAAAAAAAAAACACTGAATTTGGTAATCCTGCTGCTAGTCCCAAGCTTAGATAAAGCAGGAGGGTTACAACAGGCTAGTGACAGCCAATGCAAAACTTTGTCACAACACATAACATAAGCCATAATGATTGAGTGTAAAACTAGAATGGGTGACCTCCTAGGAAGTCCTCATGTTGGCTCATGTTCTAGATCCCACTTATAGAATTAAGGCGTTCAAGCAAGCAAACAACCAACCACACTGAATTTGGTGTTAAAAAATTTAAGAGCTTGTGGAAGACAAACAGATTGAAAATCAATCATCTACTCAGATTCCAACAGTTCTCCATAGTTTGACCTCATCAAAAGCAAGCATAAGGAGTATATTTATATTAGTAGTTTATATAGTTCTCTCACATGTTTCCAAACTGACACTAAATAGCCAAAGATATTGTTAAATTCCCTCACTAATATGTTTTGAGCATCATAAAAGCACATAACAGATAAACAAAATGCAAAGCCAAAGCTAAAAACAAGTGTTCACCTTCAGAAGACATCCAGCCAGCAGTCGTAACATATTTAAGGCTTGAACCACATGTCTCACATTCAATCTTATCAATATCAATATTTACCCATCCTCTACGCGCACAAGCTAATGAACTAGCAGCCTGCATTTGCACATGAAAGACTTACAATCTACAATTTAACAAAACACGCACACAAATAAACACTACTAGTTCAGAATATCAGCAGCCTGCCTGCATTTCTCTCTACCCAAAAAGAGTCTACCAATGATCAGAAGTATCTTCAGCATTCTTATTTATATATATATAATAAGAACAACAAAATAAATAAATATATATACAAATAAATAAAAAGAAGAAGAAGAAGAAGAAGAAGAAGAAGAAGAAGAATTAGTCTCTACAGCATGGAATTCCAATATGAAATCCGTTATTAAATAGTATAATAAACTACCTACAGCAATGCAGATATGAAGCCAACACCTAAGCCTAGCTTCCTCTCTTTAGCATGAACCTTTCCTCAAGCCACTTCACAAGTCTTAGGATGCGGATTACAAGTTATACATGATCTCTCCATCAACTACTCTAATCTCCTGACATGAAAGGGAGTGAGACCCTTGCGTCACAGGGAGTATCTTCGTGAGCATTGTTGACACACAGGCATTCTCGATCATCGTAAAGATGCTCTAAAAATGAACCATGATGAGGTTCTTTGGTGCATGAATGAATTTAAGGTATCAACAGAAATTTTCGGGTCATTTTATACTAATCAATCATATGTTGAGTCATATTTAAGTGGGATGTGATGCCTTGTGGACACCATAAGCTAAAATGCTAAATGAGTTTTGTACTACATTATACTCATTATTTCTTGGTATTATTATAGACTATTATTAGTACAAGTATTCACATTTATGCTTCCCCCAACTACTTCTATAAAAAAACAAGAATAAGGACACTCTCTAACAGCCAATTAGTTACCGGCTACCAAATAATTATCGGCTTTTAAGGGTGTCGACTTGCATTTGTCTACAATTAGAAACCGAAATTGGAGGAATAGACTAGGTGACTAATAGGCTGACTATAGGACTTGGTCTTTTCACCTAAATAAAGATTAGTTCTTGGAAAAGAAGTCTAAATATGATCCAAAATTTTCAAGGAAACTTCAAATTTCTTAATTTTGTCCCTCCATGATACTATTTTCAGGGTTGTGTAAAATTAGGATAAGGCAATAGAAGGGTAAAACTCGAATTTATCAATTACCAAGTTTGATGAAACAAGATTAAAGATGATCTGCGGAGGAAGGAGCATAAGCACTCAGAGGTGAGGAGTTAACTCTTAAGCTACCAAGTTCATTTCTCAATAATCTAAAGTCTGATTTTAAGCTTATACATCCCTTTTTATAGGGTGGCTACTACTACTAAAGGTATCTCCAAATAAATTTTTAATTTGAGACGTTGGTAACTGCGAAGGAATGGCTAAGATCATTTTACTTAAACAAAAGACCATTCAAATATTAGCTCCAATGATGTCGGTACATGATTGTGCATACATTAAAATGTGCATTAATGCCTGTGCTGCACAAATTGCACCACCAATTATGCAACTTGTCAGCTTCAGAAGTCCAAATCGTCATATCTCACTCTGAACATTGAAGTGAATTTGTGCAAATGACCTATTGATGGAAGCTCTTGAACATAAGTAACATCTTTAAGTGGTCTCACATTTAAGATAAAAAAAGTTATTGAAGTTTAACCATCAACAAACAAGATCTTGCCCTCTTTTTCATCCCCTTGGGCACTTGCCTTTTACTTACTCTTGAGCACTACCATCCTATTATGCCTAAGCCACACCAATCAAGAGATAAACCATCACTTGGGCCATAGTTAGGTCGAATATTCACCAAATTGCAATCAAGGTCCAGACCACTTCAAGCCCGAAACATAAAGGATTTATCACATTACCAAAAGCAATATTGAAGAAACTTAGTCCCAAAAACCACTCAACATATGAACATCAAATTGTCCTTCTGTCAAGATGATGTTAGGCTTTAAAGTGAACGAATAAAATTCTAAAGGCAGGGTCAGTTATAGTCCAGAGAGTAAGTATAACACATTAAACATCATGTGACATTGCATGACTAGAGAAAGAAAGCTAATATCAAAGGCACATCATTAGTAACACAAGATACGAACCTTTGGTTTCCCAAACCAATTCCCTGGATTAAATGTGGCAAGGCGCCTGAGTAGGTCTCCTCTTTCCCAAGGTCTGCATGAAGGCTGTGATGATCCAAGTGCAGAGCCACCAGCACTCGTGCTCAAGGAAGTCCGAGGCGGTTGTGTAGCAATCCCTGATAGAGAACCTGTCTTAGAACCTGGGCCATGACCAGACCAATCTGCTCCACCAAAGTTCGGAGGAACAGTAGGTGATGATGCTCCTGCAGAACTAATAAACACAGCAAATTCAAGTTCGGAAATAAACAAAAACGCAACTTTATCCATCAAGGTGTTCCCACAAATCCATCTCAACATTCGCATCTCTAATACACTCATCTTCATAACATACTCCTTTGTAAATGCCGAACAATCTGTCCGATAACTTCAACTTTTAAACTAAAGAACAAGTTCAACTCTAAAATTCTACTCAAATTAACCCAATCGAAAAACATAAAACATTTTGCATCCTCTCGAATCAATTAATTGAATAATAATACTTCGTAGAAATGATTATATATATAATTCAATTATTTGTAATTTTTCCTTGAAAAACACAAATGGCAGTATAAATAATAACTAAGCTCACATAATAATACCGCTTTCATATACTCTCAAAACACTTTCATGAATTACCAAAGTTTTCAAAATTAAAATCATTCATTCATATTTACTTTCCTAATCAAATTAAATTATACAACAATCACAAATTAACATCAAAATTAAATAAATTGGGTAAGAAAATTAAAGAAAGTAAGAGAGAGAAGCTGACTTAGCAGAAGGGCCACTGATGGCGCGACTAGCGGGCTGAGCAGTAGCGTCAAGTCCACTCCTAGCAGGGCGGCGTCCACTCATCCCCGCAACTGGCACGCGCGTCACGAAGAGTTTAGGTTTTCAGATCTTGCGAGTTGAAAGGGGTATTAGATCGAGAGAGTTGAAGGAAAAGCTGAGGTTTTAGACCTTGTTGTTGATGAAGAAGAGAGATTTCTGAATTTTGGGGGTTTCATGAATTTGAGTGAGGATTTTGACAATGAAGGTGGAGGACCTCCTCTTTGTTTTACGCTATAATCGTGACTTTGTGAGCGAAAGAGAGTGAGAAGTTGAGAGGGAAAGGGAGAGGGAGAGGGAGAGAGATAGGGGACGAGAGTCCACGAGACTATGTTTTGGGTTCCACACCAGAAATTGGATTCGGTGGAGTCGGTTTGGGGGCTTTTAGAGTACGTGCAGAGCCTAACTCTTCCTTATTTTTGTATATTTGAGTCTTAAAGTAATACAATGAAAGGAACTCATGTTGTTAAAGATCTCTAGTATGTCATTTCGGCAGTCGATAAGTCCATCTTCTTCCTTGGAGATCCATTTAATGATGTTATTGTTGTTCGTGATTACATTTACATGTAGTCTTGTCCTCTTTTTCGCTACCTCCAAGCTCCACTAGAGACTTTTCACCAAACTCTAGGCCTTACTTGTGCTGTAAATCTCATCCTCATCTTGCCACAGGGTAGTTTGTCCATCGATCCTTCATTGTAGCAGAGAAGATGCTTTATTGCTCGCATTCCAAGTAAATGCAAAAAAAAAGATTGCTTTTGTCGCATTGCCCTCCTCCTTGAATAAAGGCGGTAAGACAATCTCGTTCCCTGCTCCCTTCTTTCTTGGTCACTTCCATGTCTAAGCATCTGGAAACGATCCTTCTTCCTCTCTTCATCTCTACTAGAGCTAATAATGATGCCCCAAATAACAAAGGGAGGATTCAGATCCAATGCTTGGTAGATCTTTTTACCTGATCATCGTGGCTAGATTCTCTTGTTCTTTGGGCAAGAATCCCTCTCACAATATAGCACTTTCATTGAAGAATTCATAACAGAGGTTTTCATTCCACAAGTTGTTTCTTTTAATGAGAAATCTAGCATTATACTCATCTCTCATGTGGCCATCAGATTTCCACGACGATTCATGACTATTGATCTAGGGATAGTGGATTTTAGCACGCACAATATATTTGGTGAGGCTTGGTGAGTCGGAACCACCAAATCAATGAATTACTAGATTAATGAACCTGCTACAAAATTAAAATTAACAATAGCTTCTTCTTTCTCTTACTCTTTCTCTCTCCTCTTTCTCTATCTTCTTCTCCTTCCTTGCAATTCTCTCTCCTTTGGTAATTAATGGCAACCTTCAACTTCAAATTCTAGACTTGATTCTCTCTCCTCTAGCTGACCATCAATGGTAGCCTTCAACATCGAATTCCAAAACATTAATACATTATACATATGCTCTAGAGAGTTCTTCACCCTTCGAATACCTTGTTTCGTCTTCAATGGTGGACGATCGAGGTTTCTATATTTCGACTACGACGATGACGGTTACGGCAACAATTTTCAATTAAGATATTTGATTTTTACATTTCAGCATTATATATTTGCATACCGTAATTTGATGATAAATAATTATTGAATTAATTTTGTTATGATTCAAGTTCTTTGATTATTTTAAATTAATTGATTACATTATTGTATTTTTTAGCTAGAAATGTGAAATTATAGAAGTGATTATTTTATTATAGTACTGTTGTTGTTGTTGTTGTTTTGGTTCTTTAATTCATCCATTACTCTAACATTAGGAGTATATGGCTTAAGTTGTGTTAGAATAAACCAAAGAAGTATTATTTCATTAGATAATTCTTTGAATTACTATTATTCCACTTGATCATCCAATTGGTGTAATGTTGGTTTTTTCAGTGTTATGATAAAATTAATGTTTTCTTTTATGTTAATAATTCTTTCTTTTTCTTAATATGTACTACATTGTTCTCTACTTATTTTAACATGTCCTTTATTAAAATAATGATATTCTTTTTTGCTTAAAATATGTCCTCTATTAAAATATTGATATCCTTTATTGTCCAGAACATGTCCTCTATTGTTCTTATTACGTCCTTTATTGTTTTGGGTCCTCTTTTAAAAAAATGATATCCTTTATTGTGATGAATATGTCCTCTATTATTCTCTTTTAATTTTAATATTTCCTTTATTAAAACAATGATATCCTCTTTTGCTCTAAATATGTCCTCTATTGAAATGATGATATCCTTTATTGTGCTGGATATGTCCTCTATTGTTCTATTTTGATTTTAATATGTCCTTTATTGAAACAATGATATCCTCTTTTGCCCTAAATATCTCCTTTATTGAAATAATGATATCCTCTTTTGCCTTAAATATGTCCTATTGAAATAATGATATCCTATTTTGCCCTACATATGTCCTCTATTGAAATAATCCCTTTACTGCTCTAAATATATCCCATATTGTTCTTATTATATGTCCTTCATTGTTCTGAATATGTCTTCTATTAAAAAAGTGATATCCTTTATTGTGGTGAATATGTCCTATATTGTTCTCTTTTGATTTTAATATATATGTCCTTTTATTGAAATAGTAATATCCTCGTTTTCCCTAAATGTAACCTTTATTGAAATAATGATACTCTCCAACAAATTGTACATATCCTTTATCAAATAATACTTATCTCCCAACAAATTGTCCATATCCTCTATCATTGTACATATCCTCCATCAAATAATACATATTCTCCAACAAACTATACATATCCTCTATCAAATAAGACATATCCTCTAATAACAAATTGTACATATCCTCCAACAAATTGTACATATCCTCTATCAATTAATACATATCCTCGAACAAATTGTACATATATCCTCTATCAAATATATATTACATACATATCCTCTAACAAATTGTACATAATATTCTCTAACAAATAGTATATATCCACTATCAAATAATATATATTCTCCAACGAAATGTACATATCATCTAACATAGTACATATGTTCTATCAAATAATATTACATGCTCCAAAAAATTAGATGTATCCTCTATCAAATAATATGTGTCCTTTAATTAATAAAAAATATTACAAAAAATTAAAATAAATTGAAATAAATAAATAAAATAAATAAATAATGTATATCCTCTAACAAACTAAATAAAAAATAAAATAAAAAAAGGTTATTGGGCTTGTTGTTTTGAGGCTTGCCTCACGATGCTTTTGGTGAGGCAAGCCTCACATAATAGCTTCTCTTTTAGCACGACAAACATCCCCAATAAGCCACAAACAACTAATTCGTAAAAGTTCTATACCCCATTTGATGCTCTTCCACCCCAAGTTCCCCTTTTTATTCTTCTCCAAGAATAGGGTATCTTTGCTTATACTTATTTCTAAAAACCTTGTTTAGCAAAGACCTCTCATCCTAGATAAAATTTCATTCCTGTTTAGCTACAAGGGCTTGGTTTAATAGTCTAGGCCAAAAGAGGAGGGAGGCCTCGGAATAAAAAGTACCAGACTGCTATATACTTTTTAAAGTATATTCATAGGACATTTAGCAGGCAGAGAATACATAGGCCCCAAGCTACGAAAGCTCCGAGTTAATCGGGGTGAGTTTACTTACACGTGATAGGAAAATAACATCCCACGAGCTTAGCCTCTTGTTTCAGGGATTTTTGGGATAACCTGAAAGGGAGCTATGGATACCCTTGGGAGACAGAACCGGAATGCAACACCCGTACGGCCTGAAAACATGCAAAACAATGAATCTCCGGTTTACTGGAGATCCGCCTCCGACGATCAATTTAGTAACCAACAACAGAATTTTAGAGAGAGAAAGTAGAAAGAAGTGAGAGCATATTTTTGGGTAGAGTGCCTTTGGTAATTGTGTAGTCTTGTTCCTATCATGGAATTACAGGGTATTTATAGGGAAGTGGGAGAACATGCTCCTAAGGTTTCATAACCTAGGAAGATCGGCTGCCCTATACGTGGTTGACACGTATATTAGGGTTTGTTTCATGCTAGGCATGTTTACTTTAATGGCCTTTGAGCCATTCATTATTTGATATCTCTCTTTAGGCCACGTGTCATGCTCATATTGGCCTTTTTAGCTGAGAAAGATGAAAGGATTGGTGTCCTTCGAACAAGTGTATTATTCCGATAAAGGGTTCAGAATTAGTTACGGAGTTAATTATTCAGTGAAGTTAAGTGATCGGAAAGTTGGGCTAGAGGCCATCTCCGATAAGTGAGATTAATTTTTTTAATCTCACAGCTTTCCTTCTACTGAACCCAACGGGTCACACCTAAGCGTGCAACCAAACTAAGGTGACAAATTAAGCCGAAGGCATTAATACGTCAAACTAGAGGATACGTATTCCGACGTCAGATTCCGAGCTTGGAGCGTCGAACCCGAACTTCGAGTTAAATTCTAGGAATTAACGAGATATACATATAAGTCAAACAACGAATTACAAAGTCAAAGTGTATAGCCCTAACCTCATATCGGCCTAGCTGTACGAGGGCTAGGCTAGTTGCCGCAAGCACCAGCAGCCCCGAAAGGGCGTGCGGGCTTGCGAGAGCAGCAGCAGCGAGCAGCAGCATAGCGTGGCTAGCAAGCCCGCATGCTGGTAGCTTACAGCAGGCTTGCTAGCACGTCACGCCAACAAGCTCGCAGCGAGATGTGGCTAGCGAGGCTTGCTAGCAAGCCCGGCATGGCAGCCGAGCAACGCACAACAGCCCAGCAGCACACGTGGGCTTGCGGTGCTTGCTAGCAGGCCCATGCCGAGCAGCGCACAAGAGCAGCCTAGCTAAGTGGGCTTGCGGTATGGCTAGCAAACCCAAGCCAAGTCAAATGGCCTTGACCGACCATACCTTGGTGCCCAAGGGTGTTGATCGGTCATGGGCTATTGTGATTGGTGAGTTTGGTGACTTGGGGAACAAGGAAGCCATGTGGCTCTCTTTGAGGTCCTCACCTAACCACTCCCATGTGATTGCCACTTGTTGCTTGACTATTTGTTCTAGCTATTTAATTTATTTTATAATTAAATTAAATACTAGCTTTTCTCGACTTTGCAAAAGTCCCACATTGATTGGAAATCATGGGGATGAAGATGCTTATCCTATAAATATCCAAGGTCTCCCTTGGGAATTCTTTGCAAGAGTTGAACTCTATAAAAGGCATCTCCATTGAGAAAACCTTATGAATAGATTCTCTTGTTTAGTAGTGTTAATATTGCCCTAGCCGGTAATATTAGCCAAGTATGGGCGCGCGGGTGGACTACGTTGGAGGGGTCGCGTTTGAGGCTCTTTCTCTGTTCGTGAGTTCGTGTTCGTGCTAAGTGAAAAACACGCATCAAGGGTATGATCGTATTTTCCTCTCTCTATCTCTCTCTTGTTGCTATTAATTATGAGTTTAATTAATTAATTATTAGCATGCATGTTTAGTTGCTTTAATTTATGTATGGATCTTTGGGCAGGTTTTGTTTCCGCGTGGTGTCGGCTTATAATTAGGCCATTTGTCGACCTCTCATTTGTCTATAAAAGGGGGTAAAAATACCCCTAAATATAAGCCCCTCGAGAGGGGTAATTTCTCTTCTCAAGAGGGATTATACCTCTCGAAAATGAATTTATAACTTCTTTGGATTCTGCATCATGTCTAGTTCAATTAAAAAAGGTTTGATTAACTTGGAAAATTTTTATACCTTGCCCGGTATGATATTTTCTAAGTTAATCAATCATAATAATGGTTGCCCTTGAACTAGACAGATGTCGATCATTGTACTTTTAAGCCCCACTTTGATTGATCTTGTGGCTAATGGGTTACTTTAAATACTTTCTACAAGGTTTATTTGGCTATTAAGCTTTTCCAATTTCTCTCATTCATTCAAATGAGGGTCTCTCTATTTGGTCTATCCCTTTAAGGATCATTTTTGGACCTACGCTCGTCTTGCCATTTAAACAAATTTTGTGGCCCTTTTAGGCTCTATCTCAATTTTTTCTTTAATGGCCAATTAGGCTTAGATGCTTCTTTTGCATTTGTTCGGCATTTGGTCTAGCCCAAAATAGAGAAGGTTTTGATTAACTTAGACTAGGTAAATGTCGAGAAACAATTAACACTTGTTGAGGGGCTTTGCCTCGTATCTATGCCGATTCAGATGTAGCATTTGTCGAGATTCTTAGTCTCGTTTCTATGCCGTGTGGGATGAATTTTCCTTTGTCTTTTCTAGGCGCCCAACAATTTTTTTTTTTGTCGTTTAGACTAACCTTTGAGAGGTCAATTGATTCTATATTTTTGGCCATCTCAATAACTTCAAGTTCTTGTTAACGAGAAGTTTCATCCTATGCCCTTTGTCATATATGACTCAATCGGGCTTGGACTTAGTTGGGGCAAAAATGACCATTTGTCAATTATTGCCCTTGCCTTCAGAATTCTATTTGGCGTAAAAGACTTAGAATTCTTGCACTTTGGAGTACCTTTGAGATTTCTTTTTAACTTTCTGCCGCCTAGAATCCTTGTACTTTGGGAGTTTGAGTTATACAGTGTGATT